TTTACAAACTGTTTACTTCTGGAATTTTCCACTGAATATTTTCTTTTTTTTTTTTTTTGAGTTGGAGTCTCACTCTGTTGCCCAGACTGGAATGCAGTGGCCGCTCCTGGCCACTGCAGCCTCGACCCACTGGGCTCCGGATCCTTCCGCCTCAGCCTTCCGAGTAGCCGGAATTACAGGCACGTGCTACCATGCCCAGCTGATTTTTTGATTTATTGTAGAGATGAGGTCTTGCCAAGTTGCCCGGGCGGGTCTCAGACCCATGGGCTCAGGCAATCCACTCACCTCAGCCTCCCAAAGCACGGGATTACAGGCTGAGCCACCGAGCCCGGCTCCACTGAATATTTTCAAACTGTGGTTGGCAGCAGGTAACTGAGACCACAGAAAAGGAAACCACAGATAAGCAGGGACTATTATAGAGGGCGTTTCATAAATATACATTGATTGACATATTTGTTGAATTTCCTAAGCCAACAAATCTCATCTGCAAAGGAAGGTGTCTGGCCCATGGTCACTAAGGTCCTGCCTGGTATAGGGACAATTTTTTTTTGAGTAGGAGTCTCACTCTGTCACCCATGCTGGAGTGCGGTGACACACTCATGGCCACCGCAGCCTCGACCTGCTGGGCTCAGGTGATTCTTCTGCTTCAGCCTTCCCAGTAGCTGGAACTACAGGCACATGCCACCATATCCAGCTAATTTTTTTATTTATTGTAGAAACGAGGTCTCGCCAAGTTGCCCAGGCTGGTCTCAAACCCCTGGGCTTAGGCAATCTTCTCACCTCCACCTCCCAATGTGCTGAGATTACAGGCATAAACCACTGTGCCCAGCACCCAAGGACAATTTTATTTCAGGTACCTGGGACTAGAACAAGGACCTCACAGGCTGGGGGGTGTCTGAATGAATACTCTGTTGGACCCCCACCTCCATTCAGCTCCAAGTCCTTGTATGTAACCAAAAGCAGAACTTCTCTGAAGGTCCAGGATGCACCAACTCCTGGATAGTTTCTCTTCCTACTCAGGGGTTTCCTCTCCTGGACTGTTTTATTCTAATAGTAATGACTGAGAGCACGCCAAGTGTTTATTTTGCTTTCCATAAACTGTCTTGTCTAATCCTTACAAAAACCCTATGAGGCAAGGATTGTTGCTATTTTACAGATACTGAACCAGGACTCAGAAAGGCAAGTTCCCTAGGCCACATGCCCAGTGAGAAGCAAAACTGAATTTTGAACCCAGCTCTACCCAAACTCTAAGCCTCTGGGTCATGCCATCCTCTGCCTGCTCTCAGAAAGTTCACATATAAAGTCTAGGACACTCTGTGGCACTTCTTTGAGAAGTTCAGAAGGGTGACTCAGATGATCAAGTTTTCCTCAGAGATAGTCCAGGGAAGGTTTTTCTATCCCAGAAACCCACAGAGTCTCACTTTTCTATCCTGTTACTGAAGGTTGCCCAGAGATTAGTCTCAGGTACCTTGGCTGACTCCTTCTAGAGAGGGAGACACTGGGCAAGTTGTGCTCTGGGAAATAAAACCTTAGCCATAAAGAAGAATTCAGCACAGAAGTTCCTCTGTGATGTGGATGGGCTGAAGCTAAACATTTCTGCCAGAATTCAAGGAGACTCTCAGATCCTCACCTTTAAAATACATTCAGGAGCCAGAGATGCTACGGGACGAGAAGCTTACCTGCTCTGAGCTGGACTGGCCTTTGTGCTTTGTTCTTTCTCCCTCTGGATCAGTAGGTCCCTTTCATCTCGCTAACTCTTTCCTGTCCTTCCCCCTGGAAGTTTTTCCCAACCACCTCACTGTCCTTACCCCAGGGAACTGGTATTTGGATAGCAACCTGTGCCGCTCCCATTGCTTCAACACAGCATATGACACTAACCTGTCTAACTCCATAACTCCTGTCACTCTTCTGCCACTCTATCTCCGTCACCAAACACAGCGCCTGATGTAGAGCAAGGGCTCAGTAAATCTTTTTTGACCGGATGGATGGATGGATGAATAGACAGATGAACCAATTAACAAACAGAATACTGAATGCTGACAAGGAGTGCTCAACCATTATCTGGGAATGGGGACACAAAAGTCAAGAGATGATAATTAAACTGTTATGATGAACATCTTCCTTGCGATGACCTCCATACTCCCCACAGGGCCCCGTAAACCTCCACAAATGCTGATAGCCAACAGATGTTCATGGAGCATCAGTCCTGTCACATCCACTCAGAGGGATTTTTAAATCACCTGCATGGTTGATGTTTTGAATACCTTGTTTAAGACTACAGAAATGAGTGTTTCATCTAGCATTTCCTTCTGCCTTTAATTTCCTCCAATGACCTCTCCACCATCTTTCCAATTTTCCTTGATATCTTATTAGCAATTAAAGTTCATCTTCCCAACCTCCTTTCCCTACTTTGTTTCTAACTGATATACTACATTTATTGTTGTTGTTGTGTTATTACTCAGATAGCATTTAAAAATAAAGTAGTCGGGCTCGGTGACTCAGCCTGTAATACTAGCACTTTGGGAAGCCGAAGCAAGTGGATTGTCTGAGCCGGCAGGTTCGAGACCAGACTGGGCAACTTGGTGAGACCTTGTCTCTACAATAAACCAAAAATTAGCCAGGCATGGTAGCACACACCTGTAGTTCTGGTTACTTGGAAGGCTGAGGTGGAAGGATCACTGGAGCCCAGCAGGTCGATGCTGGGGTGGCCATGAGTATGCCACTGCACTCCAGATTGGACGACGGAGTGAGACTTCAACTCAAAAATGAAACAAAATAAAAAATAAAGTACATCCTCATTGTCTTAGCTCATTTGCTCTTCACAACAACTTTGTGAGGGAGCTGGGGATTTTTATTCTCATTTTACAGGTGGGGATACTGAGGTTCAGAAAAGCTAAGTGACTTGCTCAAATGAGCTAGTGGTATGGCCTGAATAGGTAACCAAGGCTGTTGATTCTCAGTCCACTGCCCCACCTCCAGTATCCTGTTGCCTCTGGATGCCCTCCCTCTCACCGCTAGTTTATCTCAACTTCTATTCTCCCGAATGCACTCCTGTCTCTCTCCCTGGCCAAAATCTACATCATTACTTCTATTTCTCTTCTTTCCATTTTCTTTTCTTTTGAATCTTTCCACTCCCAACTGGAAAGTTGGGGCTGGTTGTCCATGTTTTGGAGACATTGTATTAATATCTCCAACTGTTATCAGTTCTTTCCTGTTTCTTCCTCTGTTAATTCTAAGATGCCCCAAGCAGGAAAGTAAATGAGACCATGGCCAATTTGACATTCACCCACCTGTCTGATTACTACATGGTACACAACTGGGCAGTACAAATTTCCAGGAAAGAGAGGGCAAAACCAGCAGTGTGGCCAAGGTTTCAGTTTCAAAAATACAATCCCTCGCCCTTGACTACTATGCAATGTGAGCAAAATGCCCAGGTTCACACTTGAGACACCAAACTGGACAGCAAGTCCTCTAAGTCACCATGATTTAGGAGAATGATGATAGGTCTATGAAGTACCTCTGACAGCGTGGTTTCAGGAGATGGGACCCGTGTCCTCACTTGGGGACACCCTACCCTGATGGTGGCACATGACTGATAGTCACACAGAAGGTAAGGGAAAAAAAAAGCTGATTGTCAAAACACCCTAGAAAATCACCAATAATAGTGCAAAGTATGAGTATTCATGTTGGATTCTAATAATTGGACATGCTGAAGGCTAGGAAATTAAAAACTAGCTGGGCTCAGTGGCTCAGCCTGTAATCCCGCGCCTTTGGGAGGCTGAGGTGAGTGGATTGCCTGAGCCTGCAGGTTCGAGACCCACCTGGACAACTTGATGAGACCTCATCTCTACAACAAATCAAAAATTAGCCGGGTGTGGTAGCGCGCACCTGTAGTTCCAGCTACTTGGAAGGCTGAGCTGGAAGGATCGCCGGAGCCCAGCAGGTCCAGGCTGCGGTGGCCGTGAGCGGCCACTGCACTCCAGTCTGGGCGACAGAGTGAGACTCCAACTCAAAAAAAAAAATAAATTAAAAACTAAACTAAAGTTGGGAACTTGAAGGGGGCATGTCTGGGCATTCAATCCCTCTGCTTCTAAGGAATTCTCGGCTGTGGTCAGTGTGCATGCAAAATGTGGTAGACAGAAGATTCTGCAGACTCCACCCACCTGTGGGGACTCCACTGTACTTGGACATCAAGCTGCCTTTACATTAATGAAGGTGCTGGCTGTCATGAGGCTTAAAGGGCACAGGAGGGTTGTATGTCTTCCACAGGGTTAGTCTCTCAAATTAGCTCCCACAAGTGCAGCCAGCTGAGTCATGGGGAATTGCTTCCTCTCTCTGACCAAAGGTTTTTAAAAATTACCCAGGGGTCCCTGGGACTTGGTGAACCCACCTCAAGGGCTATCCTGGGATTGAAGGGTGGGCCAGCCCGGCCTACCTGACTTCGACTCTAGCAACTCTACTCTCTTCTGCTCTATCTACTTACCGCTGATCTATTCTAAGTCTGTTTCCCCCTAGGAAAACATGTTTTCCTGTCACTTCTGTTCTGCCTCTTCCATACAGTGCTGGGACTGGCACAAGGCCACACATCCAGAACTGCAGCACCACACACAGCCCTAGCCTGAGGCCACAAGTCTTTGAGGTTCTCAAAGCCTCCTCCTTCCAACGCAGCTAAAGGAAACAATGGTGATGAACTAGAGGATGCCGACAGACCCTCTTCTTTCCTGATACCTACCAAGGTCAACTCATCCTAAGACCAGGCACATGGGACTCTCATTTTATAAATGGAAAACCTGAGACCCAGAGAAAGTAGGCAACTTGACCAAGACTATATCATTTCTAAGTGGCAGGGCTGGGATTTGAATTCAGGTAGTCTGGGGGCGCCAGAGTCCATGCTCTTAATGGGCTATGCTTCCTCTCAAAGAGGCTTTGGTAAACAGGCCAACTAGATCTGACCACAACATGGTGAGGTTGACTTTATAACAAGCTAGAACACTCTGCACCCACACATTCCTTTGGGTAAGACCCTTGAGTGTTGGCAAAGGCAGGGGGAAGACTCATGTATTCCAACAGTGTCACCTCTGCTCAACAAATTTCTGAAACTTGCCTCTGGGGGCTGTCCTCAGGGACTTCTGAATATCACAGATGGTGGCAGTTCCTTGACCCCTGGACTTGGATAAGACTTTTGCTTATCCAGCCCCAACTTTTGGGTGTCAAATCTGGTGAACAGGCTCAGGGATCATGCTTGGATGATGTTATTTTTGGATCAATACAATCTGTGGCTGTAAAGTAACAAGACGGGATTCCCCCCTTGAGGCTGGTAAAATGGTCCTCCAGGTCAGTGGAAGAAGTGTTTCGCCTTCCAAGGTGGCTACTAAAGAGGACAGCACACTCCTCTGGATCTGTCAAACTTGAGTCTATTTGGTGAAAAACAAAAAAGTCAGCCCCATTCTTCAGTCACACCTCTGAAGCCAACGAGTCATGAACTTGGAGTTGTTTTTCCAATGGTGGAGATGAATTTCCACTGATTTGCACACTCGCTCACCCGCTCCATGGCCCTGCCTTGCAAGGAATGACACACATTTTCGAGAAGGCTGGCCAGGTGAGGAGTTCAGCCCAAGGCCACGCGCAGAGAGACGCTCAGTGACCCTTGATGAGAATGAGTCACAGCACTGAGCTCCAACCCAAGCGGACTGGCCACGTCCCATCCCTAATCCCTCAGAAAAATGTAGTTGCTGAATTTCTATGCTGTCCTGTAGGAAGCCGCCTCACTAATATCAAGTGTTCTTCCTGCACTGGTTCGCAAGCAGCCAGCACCACGGCTTTCTCCCATGTGTTGCCTTCATTGCTTAAGTGGTGCCCTCTGAATCTTGGTGCCAGAAGACCAATCCCCTAAAGTCTTCACTCAACATAGCCACTGATTCCTGGGAATCTTGGGCTAGTTGCTGTCCCCAAACCAAGAGCTCAGGGTGCTGGGGCACTGGCAAGAAGAATTGCCCATCTTCCAGGTCCTGTCTCCAAGTGGCTTTCTACTTTTCTGTTTCCCTTGCAAACCCATTGAAAAATATAGCTGGGCATGGCAGTGCGCACTTGTAGTTCCAGCTACTTGGAAGGCTGAGGCGGAAGGATCGCTGGAGCCCAGCAGGTCGAGACTACAGTGGCTGGAAGTGGCCACTGCACGCCAGTCTGGGTGACAGAGACTCCAACTCAAAAAAAAAGAAAAATGGTGGGAAACAGCCCTGGAAATCACCCAAGGAGGGAGTGCTGAACCCGCTGCACTGCAGAGAAATGAGAACCCCAACAAGCTGCCCATGCCGAAGACAACACCACATTCTCAGCAAGCACCCTGCAAGCCAGGCACCCTCTGAACTGGACCACTGTTTCCAATGTCCCTGAAAAGCACAACCATATCAGCAGGTGCAATTCCCAGACTCTCTCTGCAAGAATTAGCCTCTCAAGAGAGTGGACACTCATCGCTGGAAGGGATGTAGCAGAAGTTGAGTATTTGCTGGGGTTAAGTGTACAGGGGATTCCTGCGTTAGGTGGGGAGGTGGCAGATGCTGGATGATCTCTGATGTTCCCTCAACCTCTAAAATGCAACGAATCTGAGAAAATCTGATGCAAAGAAAGACACACGCACCCACACCCCCAGCCTACCACTGAAGTAAGTGCCTTCCTGGTGAAGACAGTGGTTTCCATCCCAGGCTACTCTGGTGGGAAAGCTGCCTTAAAATTTGTGTCCTGACCTCATGAACTCCCAGGGTGGGAGGTGATAGAGAACTCTCACGGGGACTTGTTTAAAGAGTTTAATTTCTTCCAAGATGATTCATGTTCAGGTTCAGCTGTCTAAACCACCTAGCACCCACCTTCACCCCGCAGCTCTGTCTGATTCCCACTTCCCACTCTCAAGTCTCTGCACTAAGGAGACAGGTGTCTGGGGCCCAGGTGGGCAACACGACTCCTCTGAGCCACTGTTTGCAAACCTGGTTGCTGTGCGTGGTCGCCTGGGCCTCGTCGGGCCTCTGCTCTGCAGTGTGAAGCGCAGCTGCCAGGCTGCTTTCAATATCCGCTCGTCCCTCACTGGCCTACCAGCCAGACAGTCCCCCCACCCTTTCTCTTTGAAGAAAAGTGATTTAATTTCATGAGACTTTGGGGTAATCATGTTATGATCTTCAACATTAACCAGAACCAACTCCCTGCTACAGGAGGGTGGGGAAGGAAAGGGGAAGAAAAAAGTAAACAGTCCCATTCGGGATTGCCAGAAATGAGAGGAAAAAGAAAATCACAGCAGCTGCTTTGCTGGTTCCCCTGATGTGGACAGGCCTCTGCCAGAAACAGGGCCTCTGTGCCAAGGTTTCTGGAAACAAGGAAGTTGGGCTTGGCAGGGCCTCCGTTTCTACAGGTTAATCAGCTCAATTCTGGAGGGAGAGATATTGGTTTTCATTCTTTAACCTACCTTCTCCTCTTGTTTATTCCCACCCCACCCCCTGCCTCCCACTCACTTTCCATCCCATACTCTACCCCCTAACTTAGATTACCTGACAGTATCCTCTGCTGAGCTCAGGGGACCTCCCTGCCTCTTCTCTGAGGCTGGGATGCAGAGTTGCTTTGGAGACCAAGTCAAGCAACCACTTTCTGTTTTCCTGAAAAACTTATCTCCACACTCCTGCCCACCCCTCAAAGCCTTCTGGGCAAAAAAATGAGGTTTGGTGAGAAGGCCAGGTTAAGAGAAGGCCAGAATAAGCTGGGGGGTAGCAGTGGGGCTTTAAAAGAAAAAAAGAATTCAGGACCACAAAACCCGAAGAGTGCATGTAAGGGTTAGCTGGAGCCAAGGAGGAATTCTCATGAACAATGGTCCCTCTTGGCAGACAGTCTCAGGGTGTGGTGCTCGCTTGAAAAAACAGCAAATAACCCAGGCTCCAGGGCCACCAGGGAGGCGGCTGGTGTGAAGATGGAAAGCCGGGGCAAGGGGTTTTATGCAAACCCCCAGGAAATGATGGGTCACATGGGGAAGGTGCTCCCCTTAGGACTTCTGCCCAACAAGCATCTTGCCAGACTTCAGCTGTGCAAAGGGCAGAGCTTCATTTCCCAGCCCAGTCTCCCTATCATCTCTCAGAGCTGCCTGTCTGTTCAGATTGCACAAAGGCCTAGGCAGCATTTCTCACCCCTCTGCAGGGATGCTGCAACTGCAGCACCTACCAGGGGCTGAGACACGTAGGGACCACTGTGCCATATAAGGTAACTTCTCATACCCCCATCACCCAGTCAGATCCCAGTGCCCTTTTAGATTGCAAGATAGGACTCAGCGTGTCTTGGGAATTCCAGAGGGGAACAGTCCCTGGACATGACTATGGAGACATATGTTTGCAGTTTTAGTTCCTTTCTAGGGTGTAGGAAAAACAATACAAGTATCATCGGCCACCACATGAAGGCTGTGCACATCGCCCCTAGGTTCTATTCAAGGCTGTTGATGGAACAGTATGTGGGCAGGGCTTCCCGCCACCCAGGCAGGTGGGTGAGCACACCCTTACCTGTGGCTGTACAACTGGCTCCAGGGTCAGATCTGAGCCAAGCCCTTTAGTCTCCACAATGAATGACAGTCTGTGATTTAGAAATTATAATTTATTTCAATACTTTTTTTTTTTTTGCAAGCATGTTTTTATGGATTTGGTGGAGGCAGTTAAATTTCATATTAAGAAATTTAATTTAAGATAAAGGTCAGACAGAGTAGAATGGAGGGATTACAGAGTCTAATTACTGAGAACGTGAAGAGATATTGTATTAGAAAAGTGATCAAAACAGGCTTAGAGCAAGCCTTGGACCATGTCAGAAGCTTAATATGGTGGTTCCAGAGGCTGCCCTTTAAATGCTTGAGAAATACTAAAGAAAATCACTCTGTTCAAGGGTATCAGTGTTCAGTTGATCCATGTTACACCAAAAATAGATCTATGTCCCCAGAGAGAGCAGGCTCCCTCACGGCCGCTGACAGAGGTGAAAAAGAGCTGGATTCCTCAGCACTCCGAACTTTGTGGTTTGTGGCTATTCTCTCAATCCGGAAAGTTCCAAGAGGTTGGAGGAAGTGAGGTCTGAGGGAAGTGGAGAGAGCTGTGGGCCACAGAAAGGCTCTGTGAAAAGCAACGTGGCGAGCACACAGCAGAGGAATGAACTGAAACAGACTATCTAGAAGTCTTGGGAAGATCGAATTGTGGGTCTAGCTCCCACAGAATGATGGCTTTGCTCCACAAAGCATATGTCTCTTGAAAGCGAGCTCCAAATCAGTGGCAGCCTAGAGGAGCAGTAACAGCACTGGTAAGCTCAGGAGACTGAAGTTCCAATTCCATCTTTTCATCACACTTCACTTTTCCAAAGTCTCAGAGGGTTGGGCTCAAAGAGCCATGATTGCTCTCGGTCCACTTTCTGTGCCTCTGTGACCTCTCTAAATAGTGCAGTGAGTTTGGACAAGCGTAAAACAATTTCCTTTCTGGAGGGGAAAACAAGCACATATGAAATTTTCAGAGTCACCCGAACCAATGACTGAAGCAAAATCCATCCAGAAGGCTCATAGCTAACATCTATCCGGCACTTCTTGTGAACTAAACACTGTTCTAAGAAGTTGAATTAACTCCTTTAATAGCTATCACAAAAGGGGGCATTAATATCATCCCCAATAGACAGAAAAAGAAACTGAGTCACAGGGTGGCCAAGATACTTGCCCAAAATGACACAGTTCAAATGTAGTAGAACTAGGGTTTGGATTCAGTCAATGTGACAGAGAGTCCAACTTCTTAACCAAATAAACTACATAGACTACTTAGAAGAAAAGGGGAGTACAGGATACACAGGGTATTTTGGCTGTGAAAGTTCCTGGCCATGTGCTGGGGAACATTACTAGACTAGCTCACTCTTTTCTCCCAAAAGGCTGCCTGCTTATATCTGGGATGTCCACCAAAGTCTTCCCAGGAGAATGAGCTACAATTGGTTCATTTGGCCTGTGGAATGACATGGGGTCTTGC